AGAAGACAAGTTGATAAAATAAATTTTAAAAATACGTATTGTTCGATACAAGTGTGTATTGAACCTAAAGCACTGTTCGATACGGGTACATGTATTGTTGCAYCCCTACTAACCATTTATTACTGATAAGTAAGGCTAAATAAAGTGTAGTTATTACAAAGTGCTACCATTTCCTTATTTAAAAAACTATTTTAATTGATGTTTTTATGTTAAAGGGTGATAAACCATCTTACCGTGAGCTCCATCTCATCGTTCTCATCGCGGGCCACAAAGGGCCACCATCCTTTGACCCGTTTCTGTTTGAAGATGGAAATGGTGGGAAGCTCCTGCTCATTTCGGATCATGTCAAGGGAACACTGCTTGGCGGTCTTGGCGCCACGAGGGAACCTGTTCAGGTCGAGCTCTATCGCACCTGGAAGTGGTGACACGAAGAGCCGTCACACATCGAAAACAATGACTAAAATAATTCTCGTAATTTGAGGATGCCACACTATCTATGGAAGCTTGGAAACAAAAACAACAAAAATGTTCTATCAAATTCGCTTTCCTCTCACAAGGTTATTATTATTATTGAGATATTTCGCTAACCAACACAGACGGACTCAGGTAAACACATGATCGTCTGTGCATATGTTCCTCACCCAGGAAGTCGTCGGCAGAGAAGTGGTCCGCATCCCAGACCTGCAGCGTGAGGCGAGGAGGGATCTTGTATTCAGTCTCGTCCCAGGAGAACATGGACTCTTTTTTGGAAATGACGATCTTCTCCTCGGCCACGAGGTAATCGAAAGGGAAGACAAAGCGCCAGTTAAAGTTGCCCTCACCAGTCAGGGAGTGATAATGCACATCTGTGTCCTGTTTGTCCTCCTGCTGACCTTTAAGCCACCTATAAAATGGTCAGAGATAATAAAGGAGCCAGTTTAAGRAGCATTGTTATAAAAGCATTGGTTTTGTTGTTAGATTTGGCCAGCCATGCACAAAAACATAGAAACTTGCAGTGTTTGGTCGTTTACTTGATATGAATTTGGTGACTTAAATGGATGTGGTCATGTTAAAAGAACCACTCAACTAACCAGGTTAAAATCACAACATGCAATGTGGCTTTTATGTGGCTTTCACTTTGTCATATGTACTGTTTTTCATAAATTTCCAATTCATTTGGAATATTATTAAGTAGAAGTTTATTTTTAAAACTTGTTAAAATTTTCAAGGTAAGCCTCAAAGCGTTTCATTAACAGTAGAGTGAAGCTGGCGTCATGAGTCAGGGGGAACAGGAGAGGAGCTGCACTCTCAGTTCTCAAATGCAAAACCATTAAATAGTAATCTGACTAAAACTGTCAGATTGACATGTTCTGACTAAACAATGTGCAGTGATTTGGTAACTGAGGTGCTTAAAATAGGATAAAGGTTAATGAGAACATGCCTCATTTTATACATCCTACTTCATCAAAACCATCGTTAATCATTTTACTGGTTCCATCTATAAAACATCCCCAATTATAARGTTTAGCCAGCTATAATGTAATCTTAAATCTAAATTACTTCTACATATTGTTTGATGATGGCACCCTGTTTGTTAGCTAAGATGTTGCACATCAACAGGTGAATGCATCAGCTGTTGTAAAATGTTAAACAATAGTTTGTTTTTCTTGAAGTGGAGTTGGAACAAGCAGTTATGGAGCAAGTATCCTACCTGCAGTAGACAGCTTACCAGGCTACTCTTAAAGTGCACGTATCATCAGATTTAAGTAATAAATATGAATGTATTTTTGGAAAGATTAGATTAATAACACGTAAAACAAATTTTACGCCGCTGAGACGAGCAGTTGTTGAGATATTCAGATGTGAAGTAACAGGAAGTGATGTCAAAGGGGAATGCATATAAACAGCATTGCTAAAACGACTAACAACAGACTTAAAGACGAATCTGTTTCTTTAGATAATTTTGAGYCACTGYCAGAGATGAAAAAGAGTCAGAGCTCAAAAAATATCGTTTCAATAAACAATTTTATTCTTTTTCTTAAAGAGTTCCCCTTTGATGTCACTTCCTGTTGTATTTTGGCTGAACCAAATCCAAAAGAAAATATGCTATTTATGCAACAAAATAGGTAAAATCATGTGTATTATGCCAAGTTTCTTAAATATATAGATGTTTTCTTTGACTTTTTTGTATTTGAAGGATATACAAA